TGTCTCAAATAAAAATAAAAAGGACTGAAGATGTAGCTCAGTGGTAAAATGTCGCTGGATTCAATCCTCAGGGTGATCTATTGTGATATATATATATATATATATATATATATATATATATATATATATATAATGACTAAAAATAGCATTCCTTGGATAAGCTAGAATCAATCTGGGAGGAAAAGGTTTATTTGGGGTTGGACTACAGTGTATCCATGAGCAGGGAGAATGCCTGGACACTGTCCTCTCAGAGTTTCTTGGGTGTACCAAGTCTGTGTTTTACTCAGAAATTTCCTAGCTGTGGCCCTGACCTCTAGCTCAGTACTTCTGAGAGAGACTTTTGGATGGTGGATTTGTGCATCTAGACCTCAAGTTTCTCATTCACCTGTGCATCTCCAGGGCTTCCCCCAGCTCCACGCACATACATTTCTGGGGATCAGGAGTCCCCCAAGATCAAAGGCCATGTCCCAAGAGCTCTTGGCAAAGATGCTGAGGTTGATGAGACAGGGCAGATGCCCCAAGGAGACTGAGTCAGAGAGTGAAGTTCCTTGTGGCATGTGACATGACATCAGAGTCCTGGACACGTTAAAAACAAACAGACCCAAACCCCCCTCAGCTTCCTTCCCAAACAAGATGGCTAACTTGAGAGTCAATGGTCCTTCTCACACTTTCTAACAAGCCAGGATGAGGAAAACCCCTGATGATAACGAAGGCTCTGCCTGTCTGCAAATGGTTTGAGGACATTCAGATTTCCAACTATTTCCCCACTTCGTTTCCTTTGACATTTGTTTCATGTCTGAAAACATTTGATTGGCTTAGCCCCCCCAAAAAAAAACCTAGCACCACCATCTCCCTTGTGCATAAGGCACCCTGTTTACAAGGACCCCAGACAGCAAGCAAACCACCAGATTAAAAATCGCACCACCTCACCCCAGAATCCTAGCTTGATGGGAAGGGTTGCTTCTCCAACAGATCCCTATCCACCTGGGGATGTGAGCCGAACTCAGGATGAAGCCCTAGGAACTTCTCAGGACAAGGAAATCAGAGAAATTTGTTGTTTAAAGGATTATGCTTCCAAGTCCTCATAAACCTGGTGGTGGAGAAGTGTTTGCCGCAGGTTGGAGCTGAATGGTGAAATGCTTCACGCCCATCCTTCTGAAAAGCTTAGGCGGTGCAGAACAGGACGGCGCGCAGGTGCACAGAGGAGCTGCCATCCCAGCAGAACTGAGAGCCAAAGCCACAGCTTCACTCTACTGCTTCTCTTTTGTTGGTTTTCGTAAGAGCTCCTGTTGGGGCAGATGCGGCACATGGACAAGCCACAGCAGGTTGCTGTCAGCCAGGCAGTGGTGTGGAAGGGTGTAGGAGGAGAGAGCAGGCTCAGGGGTAGGGACAGAGCCCTGTCCTATGGCATGGCTGAAATCCATTGTCCTGGCTCCAAGTGGGAGTCAGACCCACACACCAAGTATCCAGAGACTTTTCCTGAGTCAGAGGCTGCCTCCCTGAGTGGGTTTAGAGGGCTCAGGAGTTCTCCCCTGGAAGCCTCTTGGCTGACAGGATGTGCCTCCTGGAATTCAGCTTGCTTGGCGCCTCCTTCTGATGTCCCAACTCCTCACACACTGGAAAGCTACTTTCCCTTCTCTCTGCCATTTCCCCCAGACTAAGCAGTCAATAAGGATGGTGGATCAAGGGGAGCAGTATTCCCCACAGTCACAACTGGTCATTGTGCCTCTGAAATAGTAAAACCAAGAACAAAACATACCTGTAGAAAGGAAAATAAGGGGCACGAAGTCCCACGTGGAAGCTAGGCCTGATCCTGGCTCTCTGGCATGTCACCTATAGACTCTGGGAGCTCACCTGGTCTCCCTTAGTCTGGGCTCTGTCATCCCTGCCCCCTGATGATCTGTAATGCTCCTCTTCAGCCACCTGATGACCCTAAGCACCAGGGGTGCCACAGGGTTAACCTGGGCCACCTCCTCTGGACTGACATGCCTGCCCTGGCTGTGGCTGTGCCTGTGAGCTTTGTCCAGGCTCAGGTGACAGATGCTGGGTGATGTCTGCCAAGATGACAGAATGATGGAGGAGAAAGTGCCTTCTGATTATCAATCGTAATTTTTAAAATTAGAATTGGAAGTTTTGGCCAGTTAACACATTCATATGGCCCCACATTTCAACCACATAGAAACACTCTTGTTGCCAATAGACATTTCAATGACAATTCAATTCAGTGTGATGGGGGTGGGGGGGGTAGGGGGGTGGACACGGACACAATTCAATGACAGAGAATGGTTTTCAACAAATGGAGTGGGAACAACTGGATATTCACATTCAAAAGAATGAAGATGGACCCCTTCCTTACACCACATACAAAAATTAACAAAGTGGGGCACGGTGGAGCACGCCTATAAACCTATAATCCCAGCGCTGAGGCAAGAAGACAACAAGTTCAAAGCCAGCCTCAGGAAAAAAAAAAAGCGAGGCATTAAGCAGCTCAGTGAGACCCTGTCTCTAAATGAAATATAAAATAGGGCTGGAGATGTGGCCCAGTGGTCGAGTGTCCCTGAGTTCAATCCCTGATACCCTCCCCCCCACCAAAATAAGTACTAGCACTTCACTTTTAATTATTAAAGCTTTTTTTCCCAAACTGTGGTATAAAACATAAAATTAATTGTCAGTATTTATTTATTTATTTATTTATGGTATCAGGGATTTAACCCAGGCATACTCTCTACCTCTGAGCTACTTCCCCAGCCCTATTTTTAATTTTATTTTGAAACAAGTTTTTGCCAAGCTACTGAGGCTGACCTTGAATTTACGAAACTCCTCCCTCAGCCTACCAAATCTCTAGGATTACAGGTGTGCACCACCTCCGCTGCCTGGCACCATCTTGGCCATTTTTAAATGTCTGGTCCAGCAGCACTAAATGTGCTCACATCTGTTGATCTCCAGAATCTTATCATCTTGCAAAACTGATGCTCATATGCATTCAACAACCATTCCACATTTCCCCTCCCCACCCAAACCCCGTGTCACCACCACTTAATTTTTTGATTCCATGAATTTGACTACCTTATGTACCTTACCTCAGAAAGTGGATTCATGCAGTATTTCTCTTTTTGTGACTTATTTCACTTACTGTGACTTGCGTAACACTCGCCCATTTGCTTCTTTTTTTAAGGCCAAATAAAATTCTATCCTATGTGCATAACCAAATCTTATCTCTTCAGCCATCCTCAGACACGTGCTTGTTCCTGGCTATTATGAGTAGCAGTGGCTGAATGAGGGTGTGCCTCAGCTGCCCCAGGCAGGATTATAGGAGTCCATGGAAGAATCTAGCCTGGAAAAAGGTCTTTGTTTTGGTGGGCAATTGGGTTTTTTTCAGTACTGGGAACTGAACCCAGGGGTCCTTTACCACTGAGCAACATTCCCAGTTTTCAAAATTTTATTTAAAATATCTCTTGCCTCTGAGATATTGCTTGGGTGTACATCATAGACATGTTACTCTAGAGTTTCGTTAGAAAGTCTATCGGGAAATTCCAGAAAGTCTGTTACCAGACTAACATCTCATATAAAAGTAGGGGACATATTTTTGTGGATGTTGTTGACAAACTTTTATGAAATAATCTTCCTCTACCAAAGTTAGACCAAAATTGTAGTACCAAAGTACTACCTAATCTACTTAGAATAAAGTTTTTCTGAAATCCAAAGGAGTTTATGTATGTACACGTTGACTGGGATATATAAAATAATAAAGCAGAGGAAAATTTTATTCAATATGTCTGTATGTTCAGAATTAAGAAATATCTAATTCAGCATATACATTGGACAGTGCCTCATATGGGTTATCTGGTAGAGATGTTATCAGTTTTTAAGATGTGTTTATCAGCTTTTAAATTTAACACTGGAATTTTTTTTGTGGGGGGATATGAGGAATTGAACCCAGGGCACCTAACCATGAGCCACATCCCCAGCCCTTTTTATTTTTATTTTATTTTTTAAATTTTGAGACAAGGTCTCACTAAGTTTCTTACAGCCTTGCTAAATTGCTGAGGCTGGCTTTAAACTCAAGATCCTCCTCCTTCAGCCTCCCAGGGAGCTGGGATTACAGGCATGTGCCACAGTGCCCAGCAAGTCTGTTCTTTTATAGCAAAAACTCTTTACTAACTGCAAGAAATGAGAGAATGAATACATTTTTTTTTCCTTTCTTTTTTTTTGATGATACTGGGGATTGAACCCAGGGGTGTTTTACCACTGAGCCACATCCCAGCTTTTTTATTTTTTATTTTGAGCGAGGGTCTCACAAGACCCTGTAAGTTGCTCAGGGCCTCACTTAATTGTAGAGGCTGACCTTGAACTTATGATCCTCTCACCTCAGCCTCCTGAGTTGATGGGATTACAGGCATGTGCCACCACACCCAGCAAGAGAATAATCACATTTCTAAAGAAGCTTTATGTTTTTACAGTAGGTAGATCTAGTATTTTGTGCCCTTCCTTGTACCACTCTTGTTCTTTTCTGGCATTTTTCTAGCTATTTCCTGCTTATTTATTTCTCTGTATAAATTTTAGAATAATTTGTCTGGTTCCAGGGACAAAAGCTGCCAGTTTAGCCAGGTGCATGCCTGTAATCCCAGCAACTCGGGAGGCTGAGGCAGGAGGATCCAAAGTTTCAGGTCAACCTCAGCAAGACCTGTCTCAAAATAAAAACTAAAAAGAGCTGGGGATGTGGCTCAATAACCAAGCACCCCTGGTTCAAGCCCCTGTACCAAAATAAATTATAAATAAATAAATAAAAATAAAAACCCCTGCCAGGCTTTTTTTTTTTTTTATTGGTTGTTCAAAACATTACAAAGCTCTTGACATATCATATTTCATTCATTAGATTCAAGTGGGTTATGAACTCCCATTTTTACCCTAAATCCCCTGCCAGGCTTGACTTCTTCCATTCCCCCTTTGCTTAGTTGCATGTGGAAGGAAAACCGCTCACCCGTGCTTTCTCTTTCCAGATGAAGGGAGAGGCTGGGAACGTCGGGAAGTCCAAGCAGCTCAATGTGAGCACCCCACCCAGCATACTGGTAAGACGGTAGCTAGGGGCTCTTTCCATATTTGCACTGGTGTGGATCTGTGGTTTCCCCCAAGGTTTAGGGGTGGCCGCCACACGGTGATGGTCTCATTTTATTGGCTGAACAGAGGACAGCTGACTCCAAACTCCCCTATATCTTCCCTAGTGAGTGAGGGAAGGAGGGGGTTCAGTCTCACTGTTGAACCCTGCCCTGCCCTGCCCGCCTGCAGCCCGCAGCTTGCTCCACCCCTTTCTACAATTTCGGGGAGCTGCTAGGCAAATTAGAAGACCCACCATCCCTGATAAATTTATAATCCTGTATATGAAATTGAGGTTTTAATTTGGTTTGATGATACTCAAAAGATGAAAAATTCCCAAGAAAAGTTCCTGAAAAGAGTCTTGGGAATCCTAAAAAGGGAATAATCTGAATAGCCCAAGGTAACCCGTTTAGTGACTCAGGTTGACTTCGGAATGGTTTGTGTGGAAGAGCAATCTGTCTAGCCAATGCAGTCTGACGAGGGTCAGGAAGGAGAGAGAGAGAGAGAAAGAAGGAGGGGGCAGGGGGCAGAGAGAGAGAGAGGAGTTGTTTCCAGAGTTCAGCATCCTGACAAGCACAGTCCTGCAAAAATCTGAGTGGCCATGGGGAAAAGAAAAATGACTTGTTTTGTTGTTGTTGTTGTTTGATCAAATGTGGGATGGGGTAATGTTGAGGAGAAATAATTTAGTTCAGTGAAAATTCAGACTGCTTGAATGTGCTCAACTGAACATGGTGGCACACACCAATAATCCCAGCTATTTAGGAGGCTGAGGCAGGAGGACCACGAGGTTAAGGCCAATTTGGGCCACACAGGAGACCCTCATCTCAAAAACCCTCAGATCTTGAAGGTCTGGATTGAACTGTACCTGCCCTCATTCAGTCAGCAACCCCTCCTAACCCCCTGTACCTGACCTCATTCACCAACTGTAGATGAGCTGGGACTACCACCTCCAGTTCTCTCTTACAAAGAGACTTAGACACACAGTATGGGTATGACATTTGTCATTCCTATCCATAGTGCAAGGGGAATTAGTGACACACCTAGAAGCCAGTGTTTTCCTGCTCGGGTCTGGCACTTTGCTCTTTGCCCTTTGAGCTCACAGTGACCTCTGATTCAGAGAAGGACCTTTTGGAAAGAACATATGAGGGCCACCCAGCAATGGCCTCTCTCAGAACAGCTAATCTTCCCCTCCAGCTGGCAGCCCCGGCTAATCTAAGACAAAGGGATTATTAAAAGTCAAGAGTGTGTGTTCAACACACTCTTCTTCAAGGATAAGAGGGTGGTGGAGCTGGGAAAACAGGCCTGACCCATGCACACAGTGAGCCCCTTTGACCTAGGAGAGTTTTGCTCCTCGTAGATTCCGCAGGTCCTTCCCTGGTGATTGTCTCAACTTTGCCTGTTCATTAGAATTACTGGAAAGATTGATCCAGGCCCTCCCTGAGACTCTTGTGTAACTGGGTTGGAGAGGACCCTGGGCATTGTGATATATATTTTAATGGTGATTCCAAAGTGCAGAGGATGGTTTATCTCCATGTGCCAAGAGGCCTGCTGACAAATTGCACAATAGCTGAAAAACTTGCTTGTCTCTCTCTGAATGTTAAATTGCCAAACAATTTTTCCAGGGTCAGAGTAATTCCCTTCCCTCTCTGAACCTGAAGCTCTGCTTTATATAACACACCCAGGTATGGCCCAGAACCTTTGATAGCAAACAGCCTCCCACAGGATGTGAGAGAAAGTCAGCTGGTGGTGACCATAGTCCCGCGGTGTCCCAGCTGTGTCTCGGCAGTGAACTGGGGGAAGGCAGGAGGCTTGCTGGGTCTGAGGCTTCTTTGTCCTCCTCCAGGAGGGACACATTTGGGGCTCCATGAGGAGGACAGCTTTCATCCTGGGCTCTGGTCTTCTCTTGTTTGTGGCCTTCTGGAACTCAGTCACATGGTAAGTCGGCTTGGCCCAGCTCAAATCCAGGACCTGCGGGCAGTTGTGGTGTGGTCGGGGGCAGAGCTTGGAGGAAGGAACTCTCCGCCTATCAGTCTTTATCCAGAAACCTAATGGATTTTCTTCCAAGGCATCTTCAGCGATTTTGGGGTGCTTCTGGCTACTTTTGGCAAGCCCAGTGGGAGAGACTGCTGTCGACCTTTGAAGGGAAAGAGTGGATCCTCTTCATTATAGGTGAGGTTTCCAGACCACAGTGCCTAGGGGAGGGGGCACAGCCTGGTTTCACTCTTTTTCTTTTGTTCTCTACTTGGAGACTTCTTAGTTCTTTATTCCCAGGGATGAGGACTTGACAAGGGTGCTACAAAAGAGTACTAAGCTTGAGGACAGTACAGACACAGGATATCTAAGAAAAGAAGCTAAGAAGTTTAAGACCCCATGTATAACTAAGTAGAACAACTTTTTAAAAATGGAGACAAAATTATTAAAAAAAAAGTTGAAGACCCTCTACTGCAAATATAGAAAAATAAGAAATGTTTTATGTAAAAACGAATGCATGTTTAGAGCCATAATCCTGCTTCTACATGTAACTCCACAAGGGCAGAAAACTACACTATTTTGTCTTAAGCTGTGCTCCTGTACCTGGTACAATCTAGTTCTTAGCAAGTGGCCACTCGATAATATTTAGATAGCATAAATGCCTCCAAACTAGCCTAAGAAAACATCATGGAAGGAAAAATCCATTTAAACCTAGACATTTGTAACATTATCTATCATAGTGAACATCCTCAATTACACATTCATTCACTCAAATGATATTAATAGTACAATGTGGCCGGGCTTGATGGCACATCCCTGTAATCCCAGCTGCTTGGGAGGCTGAGGCAGGAAGATCTCAAGTTCAAAGCCAGACTCAGCAATTTAGAAAGGCCCTAAGCAATTTAGCCAGTCCATCTCTAAATAAAATATAAAAAAAGGCTGGGGATGTGGCTCAGTGGTTGAGTGGTCGCTGGATTCAATCCTCAGTACCAAAAAACAAAACAAAATAGTACAATATGCCAAACTTATATGAAGATATAGAAATATTTCAGATGAAGTATTTGCCTACCCTATTCAAAAACTAGGTCATAGTCCAGAAGGGGAGATAAAAGGTGTCAGTCCCAGCCTGGCACAGTGGGGCACACCCATAATCCCAATAACAGAGGCTGAGGAAGAAGTTTTGCAATTTTGAGGCCAGTCGGGGCAATTTAGCAAGACCCTGTCTCAAAAAATGAAAAGGGACATAGCTCAGTGGTAGAGCATCCCTGGGTTCAGTCCCCACTGTTAACCAAACAAAGTGTCAGTTTTCCCAAAGCAAAAGTACAAACAATGTCCCTGGGGATCATTTTCAGCTGGGAGAATTCTGATCAAACTCAAAAAGATTCAGTGGGATATTAAGCAATCACTGAGAGAACAACAGATCACAGACGTGTGGGAAAGTGACTAGAAATCATTTTATATGCTTCTGTTTCAATGATATGAAACAGATAAACCACCTATTATCTGGGAGGTAAGAAAAACACTAGAGAGAGAAGACATTTGCTGGAAAGTTCAAGGGCATTTTACATAGTGGTTTGCATACTGCCTTCCTCCACTCACCTTCACAATTCCAAGTAGGAACTTTAGTGGACACCCCACACACACCCCTACACCCTAGGTAACTACTAACCCAACATTTTTCTTCCCAGCATAAAAAGTACTTTATTATATCTGAGTGTAAAAATACACGTGTTCATTGTTAAAAATAAAAATCAGACAACTTGTAATAACCACTATTAATACATTAATGTGCATCTCTAATACTTTGGATATATAGTGATACCTATCAGACATCAAGTATATATAGACTGGGAATTTAACCTAGGGGAGCTTTCCCACTAAGCTATATCTCCAGCCCTTTTTATTTTTATTTTGAGACAGGGTCTTTCTAAGTTATTGAGGCTGACCTCAAACTTAAGATCCTCCTGCCAAATTGCTGGGATTACAGACGTGTACCACCATGATTAGCACACCAACTATTTTTTTAAAACCCATTTTTTTTTCATTGAATAGGCTGTTATGTCAATCAATATAAACAATATTTTCAGTGGCCCAGTCTATTCCATTATATAAAAGGATTCTAACATATTAGCCATTCCCTACTAACAGACTTTAAGTCTGCTTTTAATGTTTTCTTATGATTAAAAAAAATGCTGTGATGGACATGTTTGTATATGAATCTATATGTTTTTGCTTTCTTTCTCTCTTTCTGTCTCTGTCTCACTTTCTTTTTTACTTCAGATATTACCAAATTACCCTCCAGATGGTTTGCACCAATCATCTGCCCCTACAGTGATGGCCAGGTCTCTCCCGTGTCCTACCTACCACAAAACACTGATGGAGGATGGAGGGGGCTGGGGGAAGGGGAGCAGAGACCCAGAGTGAAGTTGTCCTTGAAACGTCCTTGCCTTCTGGGATTTTGAATCTAGAGGAGGAGGCAAAATATGGAGAAATAAAGCTAGCAGTTCAAGATTTAGGCAATCCTGTAATATCACTTGAATAACTGCCACCTGGGGTGGACAAAGTGCTATTTGTTCACAGTGGGAAATCAGATGCTTGGAATGAGTTCATGAAAAAGTGGGATGTGGAGCAAAAAACAAAATATAAGGTTTTTTTTGTTGTTGTTGTTGTTTGGTACCAGGGATTGAACACCAGGGCACTTAACCATGGAGCCACATCCCCAGCCCTTTTTATTTTTTGTTTGAAGACAGGGTCTCACTAAGTTGCTTAGGGCCTCGCTAAATTGCTGAGGCTGGCTTTGATCTTGTGATCCTCCTGCCTCAGGCTCCCAAGCCACTGGGATTACAGGTGTGCACCACTCAAATCTGTTTTAAGTTTTGAATATTTTCTGAAATATTCTGTAGCAAGTCAATGCTGTAGAATGTTAATAGGTGGAAGAGGATATACTATTTATTATCCAAATAAGGAAACTCATGAGGGTAAAATAAGGTGTTATTCATAATTATTCTACAATGCCAGCTGTAAATTGAAATCATCCTGTGCAAACAGGGACACGTGACATCCTATTTTTAGATGTTCTGAGAAAACAAGGTCGAACAAGGCTGGGAAAGATTGATATTAACAAAATCAAACAGGTTTCCTGCTGTAGGAATTCTCCGAGCCGTGAATACACTTTTATGGACCAGACAGGGTTCTCCAAAAGAGTAGGGCATGAAGACTCTGATGAAAGAGTTGAGAACCTTACACTTCAGGAAATGCAGCCCTGATGACACCTGAAGTCCCACTCCTCCATGCTAGGTAACAGGGATCAGGTTCCCCAGGTGACTCCTAGACCAGGGCCCACCGCAAACCCTCCATACCCAAGCACTTCACCAGTTAGTTCATAAAGGCTTTGTAGGCACAGCCTCCCAAAGGCCAATTTCAAATCATTTCTGTTAGAGTATATGATGTGCAGGAACACCCTTTGATGTGTGTGTGTGTGTGTGTGTGTGTGTGTGAGCACATCTGTATCTAACAACCTTAAAGATTGTTGTCCCCATTTTACAGCCAAGATAAAAAAAAAATACAGATATTTCTTAAGTGACCTGTCCATGGTCCCACAGCTGGTTTTTCAACCAGGACTCTAAGTAGGGCCCTTGGTGTCCAGCCAGGTGTCCCCCATAGCCAGGCACAGTCACCCTAACTTTTGTGTTCAGTTAATATGTGTATTGCAAAGCCCGATGCCACCCTGATTGTTCCCTTCTGCTTTCAAACTGCAGGTGCCACCCAAGTGCCTTGTCTGCTCTTCTGGGCTTTCAATGGGCTTCTACTGGTGGTGGACACTACTGGAAGACCCAACTTCATCTCCCGCTATCGAATTCAGGTTGGCAAGAACGAACCGGTAAGAGTTGCTGTGACTTCTCTTGGTCAAAGCCCAGAAAGCCAGTCTCAGAATTCTTACTGCCGGCCCAGAGGGACAAAGGCCAGTGTGAGCAAAGAAGTCATTGACAAGTCTCCCTCAATTTAGATTAGGAGAGGAAAATCATTTGCCCTGAATCTCAGAGTCACTGAGCCAGGGGTCAGTGTACACCAGTGTTCTTGTCTCCTGATTCCCAGGCCTGGCTCTGTACCTGGGGTGCTGCCCTTCAGCCCTACAGTTGGCATTGTAGGGACAGAAGTCATCATCTCAGGGGGCTGGGGACATAGCTCAGTTGGTAGAGTGCTTGCATCACTTTCACAAAGCCCTGGGTTCAATCCCTAGCACCACCACCAAAAAAAAAAAAAAAAAAAAAGTAGTCATCTCAGCCTGGTACTGGGCCATGCCAGGGATGTTGAATGGCTCCTCTTTGTCATGGGAACCTAGACAAGGAGAGCAGGGTGCGGTTGCCACTGGGTAGTGAGACTGACAGCCACCAAGACAAGCAATAATCTCACCTTAACAGAGGAGTATGGATTCTGAATGCAGAGATGGCAGTTGTATTGTTGTTGTGTTTTGGTACTAGGGAGTCTACCCATGCCTTATTACATGCTAATAATAATAGCACTCTATTACTGAAATACATCCCTAGCCCTTTTTATTTTATTCTGAGATGGGGGCCTCACTAAGTTGCCCAGGCTGGCCTTGAACGTGCGATCCTTCTGCCTTAGCCTCCTGAGTAGCTGGGATTACAGTGGTGGACCACAGAACCCAGCTTGAGATAGTTGCATTTTCAGCTGGTCCTCCTTCCTAATTATTCAACTGAAACAATGGGGCAAGTTACTTGGGAAAATCTATGATGAACAACATCCCAGACCCTGCTTAGGGGGAGCTCCAACCTGCTTGGCACCAGGAAGGGAGTCCCACCACTCCAGGGGCCTGGCTGGCCTGCTTGGTGCTCTGACAAGCTCCACAAACCTTCTCTTACACAACAGGAAAAAGCCTGGTTCTGAAACCCAGATTCTTTCCTCAGCTCCACCCTAAATACATTCTGGCTGCTTTCCTTGCTAAAACAACAATCATCTTTTGATCATGTGGCTAGGTGCCTGGGTGAATCACCCAGCTCTCAGGGCATTTTGACCCGGCCTAGCACTTCAGAAAGGCGGAACAGGTAAACTGTGCTCTTGACTCAGCCCTTCAGAATGCCCCCTTCCTGAAAGGGAGCTGCTGGCCTGGCACACACTGCCCTTCTCTTGAGATGACAACCACCAGCCAGCCGGGAAGACTTCCTCCAGGTCTAGCCTGGCAGGACATGAGCCCAGAGAGTCAAAGCCTGATATTCATCTTTCATTGATGGATCTCTCTCTCTCTCTATTTTTTTTTTTTTTTTGTACCAGGGATTGAACCCAGGGGCGCTTCACCGCTGAGCCATACCCCCAGCCCTTTATTTTTTATTTTGAGAGAAGGTCTTGCTGAGTTGCTTAGGGCTTCACTAAGTTGCTGAGGTTGACTTTGAACTTGCGATCATCCTGCCCCTCCCAAGTCCCTGGGTGTACAGGCGTGGGCCACAGCTCCCAGCATGATGGCTCTCTTTAGCAGCCACCACTGACTAAATTCTTACATCTTCGAGGCCAAGAACTATAATTAGCATCACTATTCAGATGAGGAAACGGAGGCTCTAAAATGTTCCATAGGTAGAACCATGATTCAGACTTGGGCTTCCTGATTCCAGGACTCATGCTCTTAACTACCAGTCAACATCAACTCAAGCCGGGCACCATGGCACACACCTGTAATCCCAGTGGCTTGGGAAGCTGAGACAGGAGGATTGCGAGTTCAAAGCTAGCCTCAGCCATGGCGAGGCACTAGGCAACTCAGTGAGTGCCTGTCTCTCAGTGAGATCCTGAGAAATAAAATACAAAATAGGGCTGGGATGTGGCTCAGTGGTCGAGTGCCCCTGAGTTCAATCCACAGTACCAAACAACAACAACAAATCAGCTCAAGAACATCACCAACCTCTGTACAACCTCAAAGTCTATGATGAGGAGATAGTAGGGAGGTTCCATTGCATTTTGCAGAGGCTAAGATTCAGAAAGGTGCAGAGACTTGCTGAAGATCAGTCTGCGACTAGGACCCAGAGCCAGGGCCCATCCCAGCTGACTCCAAATTCAGTGCTCCTGTACTGTGTGCAGCCCAGGTGGGCACACAGGTAGGAAGGAACCTCCCAGGACCATTTAGTCTTTGGCTTTCTCCAGAAAGGACTGACCCCAGGAGAAACTATCAGAAGCAGATCCTCAAATGGGGGCCAAATGCTACCTGGCACTCACACAGTCCATCTCTGTCTAGCTACTGTCCCACTCCCCTGAATGACTGGGGCACACCTGCAAGCTCAAATCACCAGCGCCTTCCCAACTAACCTCCCTCCCTGGGGTTGGCCTTGCTCCCTGCTTCATTCAGAGAACTAAAGCACAAGAGAGCTTCGCAGACACCTCATGGGCCTCCTGGCAACAGTGTCTGTGTCCTCCGCCTGCCCATCTGGTTCTGCAGGTGAACTCTTCCTGTTCTGACCTGCAGTTTCTTGCACTCTGTGTGCAGCACCTATCACCTCTTGTCTGCACCAGGAAAGTGCCTTAGCAATTTCAGCAATTCTCACCTTTTTTTTTTTTTTTTGGCTGGGGGAGGGGTCCCAGGAATTGAACCCAGGGGTGCTTAATCTGTGAGCCATATCCCCAGCCCCCTCCTTTTTTTTAAAGAGAGAGAGAGAGAGAGAGAGAGAGAGAGAGAGAGAGAGAGAATTTCAATATTTATTTTTCAGTTTTCGGCGGACACAACATCTTTGTTTGTATGTGGTGCTAAGGATCGAACCCGGGACACACGCATGCCAGGCGAGCACGCTACCGCTTGAGCCACATCCCCAGCCCCCCCAGCCCCCTTTTTAAAAATATTTTATTTTGAGACAGGGACACCCTAAGTTACTCAGAGTCTCACTAAGTTTCTGAGGCTGGCTTTGAACTCACAGTCCTCCTGCCTCACACTCCCAAGCCACTGGGATTACGGATGTGCGCCACCATACCCAGTCACCTTTCTCTCTCTCTTTTTTTTTGGGGGGGTGGGTACTGGGGATTGAATCCAGGGGAACTTAACCACTGAGCCATATCCCCAGCCCTTATTGTATTTTATTTAGAGACAGGGTCTCACTGAGTTGCTTCGTGCCTCAATAAGTTGCTGAGGCTGGCTTTGAACTAGGGATCCTTTTTCCTCAGCTTCCTAAGCCACTGGGATCCCAGGCGTGTGCCACCACACCTGGCTCATCTTTTTTTGTATTCTCTCTCTCTCTCTACCCCATCACAACCCCAGATTATTCCTCTCTGTATTATAAATAGGCTATAATTTTTCATTTTTCCCATGATAAAAAAGAAAGCAATCCTTGACCCCGCCTCCCCCAAATCACTAGCACGGTAGCCAGTTCCCAATCATCCCCGTCCAACTTTTTCCCCAAAATTTTGTTATAATGAAAAAAATCAAACACACAGACACAAAAATGTTGAAAGGTTCTTACAATAATCACTCATTTACATACATTCAGATTCATCAATTGTAAACATTTTACAGTTTCTGCTTTATGTATAAATATATACGCATGTGTAATATTTTACCTAAATGTTTGAAGGTAAGCTCAGGACATTGTAAGACTTCATCCCTAAGTCCTTCAGCCTACGTCTCCTAGGAATAATCACAAAAGCATCAGCTCAGCCTCTCTAGAAACATTCTTCCAATGGGTGGTCTCCCCCAAACAGGGTTCCACCAGAAGTCCTTTCTGCAAGGTCACCAATGATCCAGGCTCAGGCTTGTGTCATTAAGTCCCCAAATGCATCACCACAGTTGTGCATTCCCTTGTCCTTGGCTTCAAGGACACCCCACTCTCAGGCGCTCCCCTTATCTCCTTCAGAGTCACGCCTTCTGGTTCCTTCTCTTCTCCCCAACCTCTTAAAGTTGACTGCCCCAGGGCTCTGGCCTGGATCCTCTTTTCCTCTTTATCTTCATTCCCTCCTTATCTCTTCAGTGTTATGACCTTAAACACCACCTGTACACTGAGGCTCCTACAGAACTCTCTCTTGAATTCCAGGCTCAAATACCCTGCGGCCTCCTCGCTCTTCTCCAGCCACACAGGCCAGGAATATGGCTGTCCTAGACCTTCTTACCAGCCTGGCCTTCACTTGAAGGCATTTTCCCTACGTGTCTGTTTGGCCGGGTCCCTTCTCTTCTTTTGTGTGTCTACATCTTACCATGTCAGTGAGGCTACCCTGCCAGGTCTATTCAGGGTGAACAGGTGCCTCGCCCCTGACCTGGGGGTCCTGCTGCTGTCCTTCTCTCCTTTAAACTTCCTTGTCACTAAAACACTTATCACCCAATATATATTTTGATATTTGCAAAGCCTGTCTTCCCTACCAGAATATAAATCCATTAAGCCAGGAATTTTGTTGTTTAATGATTTTCATCACCTAGAACACTACATAGTAAACACTAAGTACCAGTTGAATGCATGGATGGACAAACAGACAAGATTGGCACCTTCTTCTCGGTCAAGATTTCCAGAAGACATTCATGGCCTCATCTTACATGTGATCTCAAATGAGGCTGGCCAGGTCTGGCCTCATTATGGGACAGAAATAAAACATGAGTGAATTTTGAGGTCAAAGGGGGGTGTGAGCTGTGCACAGTGGGCCCAGGTGAAAACGCTTGGGCAGGCCTCCCTCCTGACAGCCCATCACCACCACCAGGAGGTAGTCAAGAGGCTAGAAGAGCAACCCTGCCTTGTTTTTCCTGTCTGTCCTGGGCCCAGTTCAGTGAGGCTGGACACACAGGAGGCAGATAACTCGGGTCTCTGCATTCTTCACTAACAAGGTTCTCCCACTCAGGGGATTTGGCACCTTCTCCAAATATGGTGGCTCCTCAGGATGCCTGCCAGGAAGACATGATGCTTGGCCTGAGATGGAGAGGACAGTGGTGTTATCTGCAGAACCAGGAAGGGAGAAGCAGTCTTGGGCAGCCTGAACACTGCGTGGCGCAGTCTCCAAGGGAGTGGTGTTACTCATCCACCCGACAGCCAGGGCCTTCCTGCTGCGATGTCCCCAGTCCCAGGGCTGGGGGTCAGGCAGGAGCTTCCAGCTATGCCCAGACATCACCCCAAATTTATCTCTGAGTTACAGGCTCCTGTGAGCAGGTCACAGTGGAGCCACTTTTCCAGACGGGAAAGACCTACTTCTCACACTTCCTTCCCTCAACAGGTAGACCCCATGAAACTCCGCCAGGCTGTGCGCACAGTTCTTTTCAACCAGTTCGTGATCACTCTCCCTATGGCAGTCTTCTTCTTTCCCCTCCTCAAGTGGCGGGGAGACCCCTGCGGCCGAGAGCTGCCTACCTTCCACTTGTTCCTTCTGGAGCTGACCATCTTCACCCTGATTGAGGAAGTCTTGTTCTACTATTCACACCGGTGAGCAGGGGCTCTGCCTGAGCACAGCTCACCCCCATCCTACCTGTGGCTCTGCACTGAAGCTTCTGTTAGTGTGGGACCAACACCCTCTGATCTCAAGTCTCCCGCTAGTGGGTGGCAGGGAGACAAGTATTTTTCCCATAACTGACGGCTTCAAGCGACTGAGGAATGTCCAGCCAAGAAAGAGCTTTTCCATTTGTATGGGGGGTGGGCGGTCTCCCATTCATTGCCTTATTGAATCCTTTCTGGGCAGCACCCTTATTTCACAGCTAATTCGAATGTGAGAGAGACCAAGTAACCCATTCCCTGAGCACACAGCCTCAGGAGTGGGGTCAGACCTAGAGGAGTGCAATCAGTGTTTTCCACTTGACTCCACAGATGTCACCCCTAGTCCCTACCATTGACTTCTGATGGTAGGGAGGGAGAAAGGAGAAAGGAGAATTGGCAGATTATTAAGTACTAATTATTTTCCCAGGCTCCTTCACCACCCAACATTCTACAAGAGAATTCACAAGAAACATCACGAGTGGACAGCCCCCATTGGGGTGACCTCTCTCTATGCCCACCCTATAGAGCATGTGGTGAGTACAGCCCCGGGATCTCCAGAGAAGAGTGGTGGTCCCAACCATCTTCCCTAAGGGCTCCTGCAGAGAATCAGGCCACATAAGGCCTTTCTTCTTCCAATTAATTAGTTGCCATTTATTGTCAACCTGCCTTGTGCCAGACTATATTAGGAGCCTCACAAGCTGAATCCCTTAATTCGCCCAACAACCACTGTAATCCTGATTTTGCTGATGAGGAAGCTGGGACTCAAATAATTAATAACATGTTCCAAGGTACAAAGGTGAATGTCTCCAACAAAACAAGGTCTTGATACTTCCATCTTCTCCAGATCTGAGTCAAGCAAGTCTTCTCCTGGTACCACCTTGGGGCAAAGTGGACACCCACCTGGGTCCCCTCCCTCTCCTAGGCCTGCATCCAATCATCCTTCCTCTTCCAGGCCTCCAACATGCTGCCAGTGATCGCAGGCCCCTTTGTGATGGGCTCCCATTTGTCCTCCATCACGGTGTGGTTTTCCTTGGCCCTCATCATCACCACCATCTCCCACTGTGGCTACCACCTACCCTTCCTGCCTTCGCCTGAATTCCATGACTACCACCATCTCAAGTAAGGCCCTCCTCCCCACAGGGGTCCTTGACCAACAACCACCACCCACACTCTTCAAGCCTCTCAGCACACTGTGTGGGTGCTAGTGGGGAGAGAGGTTTGGAGGCGGGAAAATGACCATCTTGACCTTTTCCTTCTTTCTGACATTGGGCTCTTCTGTCGCTGGGAATTTAACCTTTTGAGTCTCTAATGTAGTTATGGACAGTCTTCAGAAAAATGTGTGTGTGCAGGAAAATCTTGCACGCATTTCCAGGGAAGTTGTGTTTTCTGAAAGCCCCCAGGATTTTTTCAAGTGTGGTCTCTGTACTTCCTAGAGTCACATGAAATGTTTGTTTAAAATGTGGGCTCTTGGGTTCCACTCCGTATCTCAAATCAAAATATTTGCAGGAGCACAGCCTAGAAACCTGCATTTTAACATGTGGCAAGAGGTTCTGAAGCAGGTGGCCCCTGGACCATATCTGAGCAAGCATAGTCCTGTCAGGTTCTTAAGCACATGCGCATCAGAATCACATGGTGAGGTTTCCAAGGGAAGACTCCAAGCTGGGTGTGGTGGCACATGCCTGTCATCCCAGTGATTCTGGAGGGGGAGGCAGGAGAACTGCAAGTTCAAGGCCAGCCTCAGCAACTTACCAAAATCCTATCTCAAAAAAGGGGGGCAGGGAGATGGGGATGCAGCTCCAGATTTTGTAGGTCTGGAGTGGCCCCTTATATATGCTCATAGGATCTCTCCAGGTTGTTCTGATGGATGTGGTCAGGATGGTGGTGATAGGTGTGGATAGGAGGCCAGCATGAAGGACAGAGAGATCCACAAATGGTCCTCCATCCAGCACTGCAGTACCCTCCTCTCCTCTAGGTTCAACCAATGCTATGGCGTATTGGGGGTGCTGGACCACCTCCATGGGACCGACACCATGTTTAAGCAGACCAAGGCCTATGAGAGGCACATCCTGCTGCTGGGCTTCACCCCACTCTCGGAGAGCATCCCCGACTCCCCAAAGAAGATGGAGTGAAAGGGCCCTTGCCAGTCCTATCCCAAGAGTGGGATTCCAAGACACCAAGGCCTCATGATTGCACCTAACAACTTGCCTCCTTCAGCCACACACTCTAATGATGGCACCATTAGGGCAGAGGAGAGGCTGGCTTCCTAGAAAAGCAGGGCCAAGGATAGGGCCAGGGCTTCCCCCAAACTTCTGTCCTTGTCCCTTCATGGGACCAGGAGTTAGCTTAAGGAAAAGGGGAAAAAAGGTTCCTCAGACTGGAGGCCAGTCAGAGGAGGAAACCACTTTAAGAGGGCTCTGGCCAGGCCCTCTGGTCCTCTGCTGTGGGATGGAGGAAGGTCATCCCCTTCCCACTGTCTTGTGGCCTAGGTAAGATGCAGAGAATGATGGAGAGGGAAGTAGGACTAAGGCAATTTGGGCCCCAGGGAGAGCTCTTTCTGGTGTCAAGGAGTGGGGGAATCAGATCTATCACTTTGCTTCTTCCTACCCTTTTGGGCTTTTCCATACCTTAGTCAGGCCAGGGCCAGTTGTCCCTGGCAAATAGTTACAGGTCTGATTTTCACATGCCATGTGCCAGTCCCCATTCCACCCACTCCCATCACACACACACACAGGTCCCATTTCAACTCTGCCTCACTACACATAAACACCCACAGGTGCTCCTCCCTGATCAACTGATAACAAGGAAGCACAGGCTACACCCAGAAGGATCAGGGTCACAACCCTTTGGGGATACCTGAGGAGTCCAGAAAAAAATGGCCAAAGGGCAAAACTCTTTTTCTCTGAAATGGTTAACCAGTTTTCTTAACAGGGATTATTTGACTGGGTTTTAGCAGATACATTTTTCAAATGAAATCTAACCAGGACCCTTTTTATCTGAAACAAAGCCACAGGGCTATCTGGGTTTGAAACAATCACCTCCCTTACCTCCCCTTAGGAGCAACATGCTCTTGAACCTTGTAGCTCCCAAAAATTCAGACTACTCTTTGAAAGGCCACCATTACTACTATTATCATTTACCCCCACCCTACTGGGGATTGAACCCAGGGGTGCTCTACCACTAAGCTACATCCCCAGCCCCGTTTATTTTTCTATTTTGAAAATAGAAAATATTGCCCAGACTGACCTTGACCTGGTGAGACTCTTACTATCAACCTAGAGTCACTGAGATTATAGAGGCAAGTGCCACCACATCTAGTTCATTTACTAAATTCTTGTATGTGTACTTGTGCCTATTACTGACTTTCAGTTCTTTTGGGCCAAGAAAACCACCTACTGTGACCAGGTGAGATGGTGCACACAGCTGTAATCATGTGACCAAGGCAGGAGGATCACCAGTTCAAAGCCAGCCTGGACAACTTAGCATGACCCTGCCTCAAAAAAGTACAAGGGCTGGGGACAGAGCTCAGTGGTAAAGGTACCTCTGGGTTCAATCCTTAGTAGCAGGAAAAAGTGTATATATATATATGGAAAATAACCTATTGTGGTTTTACAAAAACCTTAACATAGCTGGTACAGACCTGTAGACCCAGCTACCTGGGAGCTGAGGCAGGAGGGGCCAGTCTCTTTGCAACAGTGAGCCCCCATCTCTTTGGAGACAAGGAAGATCACACAGGGCCAAGCCTCCAAGCAAGACTACCCCAAACTACTTCCGCCTGAGCACCAGGACCGCAGAGGACTTGCCCAGTAGGCCAAGTCAACACTCAGCAGGCAGCACCTTCCCTGGCCTTCCAAGGCCCCCTGCCCTCTCTGGCCTTGAGGGGCCCAGTCCTGTCTAGTGTATCCAACTGTTAAGTTCTCCCAGCTGCTGGCCTGCACTCACCTACAACCAAGCATCTGGAAACAAGTCCCTTAGTACACTTGAGAGGATGGGGGACGGGGAGACTATATGAGAATTGCTTTAGATTTCAAGGTGCTGTACAAAAGGCATAGAGGGACAAGAGGCTGTTATTGTCCTGGCTGCCATTGTTTGGCACCTACACTTATCCTTTTCTCAAATAGAATGGCCCTGAGGTTGGTAAATAAGACTGGGGGAAAAAAGAAAAAAGCCTTAAAGTCCCAGCAGAAAATGTGAAGAAAAAGCATTTAAAATAAACCTGCTTCCATTTATTCCTGATACTTTGTTTTTTTTTTTTTTCCTCCTATAAGACTTGTTCTAATGCTCATGATCATGACATTTGGGAGCTAAGACAGTGCAATCAGTAGCCTTTTTTTTTTAATTGAGAGGTGAGAGAGAGAGATAGGGAGAGAGAGAGAATTTTTGATATTTATTTTTTAGCTTTCGGCAGACACAACATCTTTGTTTGTATGTGGTGCTGAGGATCGAACCCGGGCTGCACGCATGCCAGGCGAGCGCGCTACCGCTTGAGCCACATCCCCAGCCCCAATCAGTAGCCTCTTTGATGACCATTCCTGACAGGAATGTGTGGAAGTGAGGATGAACTAATACATCTCCCTGTTCCCAAAGTACCAATCCACAGAACCCTGGCCACTTCTAAGCTTCCTTTGGCCAGTAGAGGTCCTGGGTGGTACTGAAGTTAAGTGCCCATCAAAGACTAGTGGGGGGAAAAAAATCAACTCTAGAAGACCATTTGCTAGGGACTGCACCATGTATGGGAGACAGAAAATGGTCAGATGACCACGTGAGGCTATGACTCACTTTTTTCTCTGTAGAGTGGGGCTCACTGTTCCATCCCCGTCTCAGGGATCCCTGTACGACACAGGTTCCACAAGGTATGATTACTGAACCGTTACTTCTTCACTCACAAGAGTCTCTTCAGGGAGGAGCTGTGCCAACACTCTACAAGGGACACTAACTTTTTCTTCTTGGCTATCTTTGATTACAAGACCAGGCCCAGGCAGCGGATGGACCCAAGTGCCATCAAGTAGGCTCCCACTCACATCTGGCAGTCTATGTCCCCCAACTCTCACTTAAGACATGGATTTAAAGCTGGTATAAAAAAAAAAAAAAAAAAGGCTCTAAAGACCATTGAGGAAGCCACCTCGATGCACTGGCAGCCCAATGGAGGCCCTGCCTTCAGCAGACTCCCCCAAAGTCCACTGATAATGCCCTTGCAGGTGCCACTCAGATGCAGCGCAAGTTTCCTCTGGCTCTGGGGAACCCTATCTGGGCTCTATCTCACACCCAATAGCAGCACCCCATATGGGAGACAAGCCAGTATTTTGCCTTTTCAAATTTTTATTTTTATACATTTTTTTTGTATTAAAAAGAAAAGCATAATTACCACAAATTACAAAGGACTAAAGCAGGACTAGAATAATGAATGAATCACTTCAGCCTGGAAAGCAGATACTCTCAATAATATTAATGTTATAATACAAGCTCATTCAAGTATTTTACATTTTTTTTTTTGTCCTTTTAAATGTGATATCCTAGCACATGGTAAAGATAATGTACTACGAGCGTAAGGTGGAACCTTCTTCGCAAAGCCAGATGACAAGTTTTCCTCTCCAGTGAGAATTGGGCTGTAAGTTCTTATGTTCTCTGCCTCTGCCATCAACATGGCTGAAGGAGAGGGTGGGGCTGGGGAGAATCCAGGAACCCTTCCACACAAGAGGTACTTTGAGGTTCCCATTTGGGAGGGTGCCAGATGATCCAGACCACTCTACCCAGGCTTTTGGCAAAACACCCCTAGCTCTCCCAAAGGCTAGTCTTCTCGCTTCCTCCACCCCACTTCCAGAGCCTCCTGAGCAGCTTACTTTCTTTTGTAAATCAATCATTAGAAAGGGGGGGGGGGGGAAGAGCTACAATGAAACAAAAACATTTAACTTTGACATGGGGGCTCAGTGCCTCTTGCTGTCGTTCTGAGCCCTAGGGGTCCAGGCTGAGGCAGGACTGGGTAGCCTTCTCTACTGATAGTGCATGTGTCTCAGGTTCTGGAGAGGGCACAAGAAAAACCTGTCCCTCATCAGGGCTTAGGCACACACAGACCTTCTGTTTGACACCTACAGGTCATTCTGGCATGGACCAACCTTAGAAGGGCAGAGAATAAACAGGGGGTTGGGGAAGGCTGTTGCTTTGTGTCTCAGGTCTTAAGATTCCCATGGGAAGGTGGTGGATGTGAAGTGGCTAGTCCTGATGGCCCCTGCCACTCATACTTGTCACAGATACATCGGTCCTAAATTCAAGTGTCTTCAGAAAGTGAAGATGTAAACTACTCTTTGCAACATTAACTCCTAACATGTTACAAAAAAAAAGAAAAGAAAAGAAAAGAAAATAGCCCCTCACCCCTCCTCAGCCTATGTTGAGATGAAGTTCTCACTTACTCACCCCAAAGGTGCTTCCTCCTTCAGGGATATCTGAGAGGATCAGGGAGAGGATGGCAGCCCCTGGCCTGGGAGTAACTAGACGAGAGCAGCCTTTTCCCACCTCCAAGGCTTCCTTGTGTCCCCAAACCCAGCAAGGGTCAAACACTGAGGTTTTTGCGGTGCTGGATACAATACAGGGCTGAATGACCCAAAGGAAAAAAAGGGGGAAAGGGAGGGAGAAGGAGGTCCAGGAGTCCAGTGTCTGGGACAATGTGGGGCAGGCACACCAGACTGGTTAGGGAGAGGCCTCAGATCCCATTGTCATAGCAGAGACCAGACATTCATCCTTGGTTCAAGACGACTGGGTCACAGGAAGTGAGATGGGCTTCCCACATACTAAGCACTGGGATGACAGAGGTGAGGGGGCACACAAACTAAAAGCAATGAGGTACCCAAAGACAGAGGGCAAGTGAGCCCCTGTCAGCCTGGGATACTGTCTCCTATTCCCAACCTTTGTGCCAACAGAGAAACCTGTTGAAAAGGAGGGCCAAAGAAGTTTCAGTAATTGAGCAACAAGACTGCAAACTTCTCCGTGTTGCCCAGTTCCCATTGGGGGTGAACATGCAGTCATGCCCGTACTTGACACACATCCCAGTCTGTGCGGGTCAGTCGGTCACCCTCCCTAGCTTCTGACGACAGTAGACTCCAGCCATTCCATTGTCATTCACAGCCCAACTCAAGCAGTCAGTGGCTGGAGAAGAGAAGTTAGGTATACTCTATGTCCACATATACCTTCCTGCCACAGGGCTTCACCAACTGGCAGGATTCCCCCCAGCCCCCAATTCCTCCTCATCCCTCGTTCCCAGGCGGGGTCTCGTTCCCAGTTGGGGTTGATCAGAGAGAGGGTGGGCAGAGATGGCTTGCAGAGGGGGGGGATGCAAGATGGGGAGACCCCACCAGACCCTCGGAAAAGAACGGCACCTTTCTCCACCTTTCACGAGACATAAAGCTTCCTTGAGGTCTCGGTGATCTTTCAGGACAATGTGAGAAACATATCCAAGCCTCAGCTACCAGGTGTTCCCCTTTCCCCTCTGGCATGGGGAAGACGCTCGGGCTGAGGACAAGTGTGTTCCAGATCCAGGCCAACTCTGTTTTCCAACAGTTTGAAGCAAACTTGGCCTTGGGATTCCAAGGGTAGGATGAAGGGTGTCACGGCAGGACGGGGCCTGGCGTGAGGCAACAGCAAGCAGAGCAAGGACACGAAAGTGGCAGCAGTGTACAGACACAGGACGTCAGCTTCAACGATGCAACAGCAGGGATATTTTGGGCACGGCTCTGACAGCCGCCCCCAACTCTCTTGCCTCCAGGCGGGAGGCACTGTACATGCAACTCAGTCCAGAGAAAGATCCAGCCAGTCCAAGCCCAGGCACATCCAGAGAAGGTGGGAGCTCTTCAGGTTGACTCCACCGAGGAAAACAGGCATTTGGGTATTATTTCAGATTCCCGCTCCACAATAAGGCAACTTTTAAAAAAATATTATTTCCAAGAACAAAACAAACAAACAAAAAAAATTCCAAGGAGAGGGGAAAGACATCACTTTCTATGGATTAGGTGGGGGTTTTCTGATTTTTTTTCTTTTTTTTTTTTTTTTTTTATGGTTCTTTTTTTTCTTTTTTTTTTTTTTTTTCGTTTTTCCAAGGATGGAAAGGTCAGAGAAAAATAAAATAAATCATCTTTCAATAGTCTTTTCTGGTATGAGCAGCGTCTCTCTGGGCTGGGGAGTAAGGGGTGTGGGGAAAGGGGAGTGGGAGAGGCTGAAACCTCCCCCAACCCCCACTTTTAGATCCTTTGGTTTCCTTCTCCCAGAAGATGGCAGAAGGGCATGGTAGGGACAGCAGGGAGAGAACACGGTGATGGCAAACCCCACATAGTCAGGGGCTAGTGCTCCTGGGGCCCAGGCGCTGTTAGAGCCTTCCACAGGACAGTGCTGGGCAACAGGGCCCACAGGGCCTTCTGGTGGGCTGCATAGTTGGCTTGGGGGGGGAGCAAGAAGAGGCTGTGGGTGGGGACCAGGGTTGCGGCATATCAGCCAAGGGCAGGGCTGAAGAGTGATTTTGGTAATC